TGTGAGTCTACTCTGTATCCCACTTCCTATGTTGGATCATTCTCTCCTTTTTAGTTTTATCAGTTAGTATTAGCAGACACTAGTCTCATTTATGTGATCCCTTTGACACTTAATCCTATCATTATGATCAATTATGAACTGAAACTGATCACTTTGACTAATGAGATGGCATTGGTACATGCCACCTTGATGGGATTGAATTGTAATCTCCTGGCACATTTCTAACTCTACCATTAGGGGTAAGTCCGATTGAACACGTGCCAAACTGTTCATCTCCCTCTCTTATACCCACTCTTACATTTAACAGGGATCACTTTTCAGTTAAATTTAAACACCTAAGAATAATTGTGTGTTAATTAAAGAGTTCAACCTATGGTATTAAGTAGAACCAAAAAATGCTAAAAGGAATAAAGTAGTAAGTTGTTCCTTGACATGATAAGGGTTCATCAAGTCACCGTTTCTCATAGTGTCATTTCACTTAAACAGGTTTCCTTTTAGGTGCTCAGTTAGTTGTCACCGATCAGGGAGAACATATGATATTTGTCCCTTTGGGACTAGCTTATTTCACGCAGCATGATGTGTTCCAGATTCCTCCATTCTGTTGCAAATGATCGGATTTCATTGTTTTTACTGCTGTATCGTATTCTATAGAGTACATGTCCCATAATTTCTTTATGCAGTCTACTGTTGATGGACATTTGGATTGATTCCATGTCTTAGCTATTGTGAATTGAGCTGCAATAAACATTAAGGTGCAGACAGCTCTTTTATTTGCCAATTTAATTTCCTTTGGGTAAATCCCAAGGAGTGGTATGGCTGGGTTGTATGGTAGGGTTATATTCAGGTTTCTGAGGAATCTCCAAACTGACTTCCATAGGGGCTTTACCAGCTTGCATTCCCACCAACAGTGGGTTAGTGTCCCTTTTTCCCCACATCCTCACCAGCATCTGTTGTTGGTAGATTTCTGTATGTGAGCCATTCTAACCGTGGTGAGGTGAAACCACATTGTGGTTTTGATTTGCATTTCCCTGATTGCTAGTGATCCTGAAAATTTTTTCATGTGTCTGTTAGCCATTTGGATTTCCTTTCTTGAAAAATGTCTATTGAGGTCTTTGACCCATCTCTTAAGTGCGTTGTTTGTTTTGTTGTTGTGGAGTTTCTTGATCTCATTGTAGATTCTGGTTATTAATCCTTTATCTGTTGCATAGTTTGCAAATATTTTTTCCCATTCTGTTGGTTGCCTCTTCACTTTCCTGTTTCTTTTGCAGTACAGAAACTTCTCAATTTGATGTAATCCCAGTTGTTAATTTTGGCTTTGACTGCCTGTGCCTCCAGGAATCTTTTCCAAGAATTCTTTGCCTGTGCCTATATCTTGCAGGGTTTCTCCGATGTTCTTTAATAATTTGATGGTTTCGGGTTGTAGATTTAAATCTTTAATCCATGTTGAGTGGATTTTTATGTAAGGTGTAAGGTATGGGTCTTGCTTCATGCTTCTGCATATGGAAATCCAGTTTTACCAGCACCATTTGTTGAATAGACTGTCCTTGCTCCAGGAATTGGTTTTGGATACTTGATCAAATAGAAGTTGGCTGTAGATGTTTGGATTGATTTCTGGTGTTTCTATTCTGTTCCATTGGTCTGCCCATCTGTTTCTGTACCAGTACCATGCTGTTTTGATTACAACTGCCCTGTAGTATGTCCTGAAATCTGGTATTGTGATGCCTCCAACAAGATTGCTTTAGCTATTCGAGGTCTCCTGTGTCTCCATATGAATTTCAGTATCATTTTTTCCAGATCTGAGAAGAATGTGTTTGGTATTTTGATTGGGATTGCATTGAATCTATAAATTGCTTTTGGGAGAATGGATATTTTGATGATATTGTTTCTTCCAATCCATGAACATGGAAGATTTTCCATTTTTTGGTATCCTCTTCTATTTCTTTCTTTAAGACTTTGTAATTCTCATCGTAGAGATCTTTAACGTCCTTGTTTAAGTTTATTCCATGGTGTTTGATTGTTTTTGTAGCTATTGTGAAAGGGATTGATCTTAGCAGTTCTTTCTCAGCCGTGGCATTGCCTGTGTATACAAAGGCTGTTGATTTTTGTGCATTGATCTTATATCCTGCTACTTTGCCAAACTCTTCTGAGTTCAATCGTCTCTTAGTAGAGTTCTTTGGATCCCCTAAATAAAGAATCATATCATCTGCAAAGAGGGAGAGTTTGATTTCTTCCTTCCCAATTTGTATCCCTTTAATTTCTTTTTCTTGCCTAATGGCTCTGGCTAAAACTTCCAGAACTATATTGAATAGCAGTGGTGAGAGTGGGCATCCCTGTCTGGTACCAGATCTCAGTGGAAATGCTTCCAACTTTTCCCCATTTGATATGATGCTGGCTGTGGGTTTTTCATAAATTGCAATGATTGTATTGAGGAATGCTCCTTCTATACCCAGTTTGCTTAGAGCTTTCATCATGAAATGGTGTTATATTTTATCAAATGTTTTCTCTGCATCTATTGAGATAATCATGGTTTTTCTTCTGCAGTTTGTTAATGTGGTGTATCACGTTGATTGATTTGCGAATGTTGAACCATCCCTGCATACCAGGGATAAATCTCACTTGGTCTGGATGGATGATCTTTCTGATGTGTTGTTGCATTCTATTGGCCAGAATTTTATTGAGGATTTTTGCATCTATGTTCATCAGGGATGTTGGTCTGTAATTCTCTTTCAATGCTGCATCTTTTTCAGATTTAGGAATTAAGGTGATGCTGGCTTCATAGAAAAAATTTGAGAGGATTCCCTCTTTTTCGATTGTTCTGAATGGTTTGAGAAGAAATGGAGTTAGTTCTTCTTTTTTTTTTAAACTTTTATTTAATGAATATAAATTTCCAAAGTACATTTATGGATTACAATGGCTTCCCCCCCATACAATGTCTGGTAGAATTCAGTAGTGAATCCATCCGGTCCTGGGCTTTTCTTTGTTGGGAGGGCCTTTATTACTGATTCAATTTCTGACTCGGTTATGTTTAGGTTTTCTATGTCTTCCTGGTTCAATTTAGGTAGGTTGTATGTGTCCAGAAATCTATCTATTTCAAATAGATTTCCCTGTTTGCTGGCATACAACGCTTTGTAGTAATTTCTGATGACTCTTTTTATTTCTGTGGTGTCTGTTGTTATATTCCCTTTTTCATCTCTGAATTTCATTGATTTGGGTCCTTTCTCTTTTTTTTAGTTAGTTGGGCCAATGGGGTGTCAATTTTGTTTATTTTTTCAAAAAACCAGCTCTTTGATTTGCTGATCTTTTGGAATTTTTTTGGGGTTCAATTCTGTTGATTTATTCTCTAATTTTAATTATTTCTCCTACTAGTTTCAGGTCTGGTTTGCTGCAGTTTTTCTAGATCCTTGAGATGCATTGATAGCTCATTTGTTTGGTGCCTTTCCTATTTCTTGATTTAGGCACCTATTGCTATAAACTTTCCTCTTAACACTGTTTTTTGCTGTATCCCATAAGTTTTGATATGTTGTATTGTTATCCTCATTTACTTCCAGAAAGTTTTTGATTTCTCTTTTGATTTCTTTCATGATCCATTGTTCATTCAGGAGCATGTTGTTCAGTCTCCATGTGTTTGCATATGCTCTAGGGATTCCTGAGTTGCTAATTTCCAGCTTTATTCCACTGTGGTCTGAGAAGATGTATGGTATGATTCTAACTCTTTTAAATTTGCTGAGACTTGCTTTATGGCCTAGTATGTGGTCAATCCTAGAGAAGGTTCCATGCACTGCTGAGAAGAATGTAAATTCTTTAAATGTAGGATTGAAAGTTCTGTAGATATCTGTTAGATCCATTTGGACTATAGTGTCATTTAAATCTGCTGTTTCCTTTTTGATCTTCTGTCTGGTTGATCTGTCTATTTCTGAGAGTGGAGTATTGAAGTCCCCCAGTACTATTGTATTGGAGTCTAAGTCTCCCTCTAAGTCCCTTAACATATCTTTTAAATAAACCGGTGCCCTTTAATTAAGTGCATATATGTTTATAATAGTTACATCTTCCTGTTGAATTGATCCCTTAATCATTACATAGTGCCCCTCTTTGTCTTTCTTAACAGTTTTGGTGTTCAAGTTTATTTTGTCTGATATTAAGATGGCTACGCCAGCTCTTTTTTGGTTTCTGTTGGCATGGAATATCTTTTTCCAACCTTTCACTTTCAGTCTGCATGCATCTTTGTTGAAAAGATGTGTTTCTTGTAAGCAACAAATAGATGGATTCTGGTTTTTAATTCATTCAGCCAGTCTGTTGTCTTTTAACTGGAGAGTTGAGACCCAGAGGAAGCTGCTTGCTCCCGGCTTCAACTTGGCTCAGCCCTGGCCGTTGCGTCCATCTGGCGAGTGAACCAGCAGGTGGAAGACCTCTCTCGGTTTCTCTCTCTCTTTCACTCTGCCTTTCAAATAAATAAATAAATCTTAAAACAAAACCAGTCATCCTTAATGAAGTGTTGAATTGTATAATGTATGTGTTTTTACAACATGGATTGCACATTCTATTTTTTAAATTCAAAGAAAACTGTAACAGTATGCTACTGATATGCCTTCGATGCTTCAGGATGAATCCATTGTGTTTGCTTTTCTGTCGTGTTACTGTAATGCTGTATGTCATTACATGACGTGTATATTGTTATTCAGTAAACAAATGGGTTGAGATCCGAAGGCCAAGGCCGGGTGGCAGAAGGGCCGTCTCCTTTAGGTGTGGTGGAGCCTCTCGCAGACTCCCCTTGCAGAGAGCAGACCGAGCGTGGCGTCTGAAGCCTTTCACAGGGGTACAGGGATCATGTCTGCCCTTGAGAGACCGTGCGTCCCTCCCTGCCCGAGGGTGGGGCATCTAAGCCCGGTGGCGCTCCGGTCAGTCCCTGGTGCTCGGGAGACAGGGCCTGCGTTTGCGATGGTGACCCCGCCTGGTTCTCCAGGGTTTTCATCGTGTGTATTCTTCACTTGTGTCATCACCAGGCTCTCTCATTCAAGTACCTTCCGTTGAGCGGGGCAAGCTGAGCAAGGTGCGTCTGGGGTCGCTGTCTCTGAAGAAGGAAGGCGAGAGGCAGTGCTTCCTGTTCACCAAGCACTTCCTGATTTGCACCAGGAGCTCCGGGGGAAAGCTGCACCTGCTCAAGGTACCCAGCCCCTTCCCGGCCCGAGCTCTGCAGAGGGACCCAGGCTCCTCCCGCTGCGCCCTCCCTGCGTCTGGCCCACCATCAGGCAGCGGATGAGGGAAGCGGCAGCTGCCAGCTCTGACGGCGGCTTTGTTGCCCTTTGCATTCAGAGTGCTGGAAATGTTTTCTAATCATTAGATCTATCATGTAATTATACATATAATAGCCAATGTCTAGCTAAAGACAATGTCTAGCTGAAGCCTTGGCCTAGAGACGGTCACCGCTGGCTGATGAATACAGAGCTTCAGAAACCACGTGCCATGTCCCCAGCGCCCTGAGGCCGTGTGTCTAAGGGCCGCTTTATCTTGCACAGCACCAGAGCCCACAGCGTGTTGTCTGTGTTTGTTAATAAAGTTTTATTGGAACACAGCCCCCTTTCTGTGTTTCCGATTGCAGCTGCTCGCTGCTTAAAAGTGGCAGATTTGAGTAGCTGTGATGGAAGCTCTGTGGCTTGCAAAGCCTGAAATCTTGACTGCCTGGCCCTGTACAGGAAGTTTGCCTACCCGTGCCTTCCGTGATTGTTGTCCAGCACTGTGCTGCAGCGCCATGATGACGCCGCTTCGGTGTAGAGCCGAGTTTTCACTCTGCAGCCTGTGCGGCACCATCTCGTCTCCCGGATTTGCTAAATTCTATAGCCCTGGGAGCAAGACTGGGGTGGGGAAGAAGGACTTAGTAAAGCTCATTGAATTGAAATCCTTTTTCACATCCAAGTTTAGTTTTGGATGATTTGAAAAAGTACACGTGGTACGGAATGGTTGTGCCTTCCTCTTTGGCAACTTGGGCGTGAAATGCACGAATCAGAGTGTAGCTCTCAGCGGGCCCCTGGCTTGTTTGCAGACGGGCGGGGTGCTGTCGCTCATGGAGTGCACACTCATCGAGGAGCCCGATGCCAGCGACGATGACGGTAAGTCCCTGTCTGTCACTTGGCGCTGCCCCGGAATAGAACAAAAGGTTTCATGGGTGGATGCGTTAAAGAGCTCTGTTGAACCACTTGACCTGGGAGCCCTGTTAGGCCACTTTAGGCATTCAGATGGTATTGAATTTCTGTCAGAACCGTGATTTCTTAGTGGCAGGCAGGGTGTTCGTCTCTTTTCCTTTGCTGCAACAAAGCACCCTAGGCTGGGCTCTTTATAAAGCAGAGACGTTTGCTCAGCTCACAGCCCTGGAGGCTCAGGGGAGGGTACGGGCACTGGCTCAGCTCCTGTGGGATGGCATACCTGTGGCAGGAGGGAGGGAGGGAGGGAGAGACTGATTACATGGCGAGATAGGAGGCAGAGAGTAGGGAGTCAACAGCCTTGCTCCCCGAGAACTGCCTGGGGTCCCAGGAACGCTAGGGCAGTGGCGCATGCGACCCACCGCCCAGCAGCGCCAGTCTGGGGCCCACCTCCTTCGCCACGAGCCCTGGGGCGCAGACCACAGCCAAGCTGCAGCGGGCAGTCAGCAGGTTATAGAAACAGAGAAAATGGGAAGTGAGAGGTGGCCGCGGTCCTGGGCTTGGGGACCCTCGAGACCCCCGCATGCGCAGAAGCGCGATGCCGCTGCGGTGAGAAGCCGGCCCTAGCGCGCTGTGACTGCGTGAATCGGGACTGAACGCAGCGTCGCTCACGTTCCCGCGCGTTTGTCTCGTTTGATTGGCGTGTGTTGAAGCCAAAGGCTCCGGACAAGTGTTTGGACACCTGGACTTTAAAATCGTGGTGGAGCCGCCGGAAGCCGCCCCTTTCACCGTGGTCTTGCTCGCGCCCTCGCGCCAGGAGAAGGCGGCCTGGATGAGCGACATAAGCCAGGTAAGCCGGCCCTGGCCACGTTTTCTCTCCCGATGTCACAGCGCAGGCTTCCCGACAGGGCTTCTCGAGCTCTTATTCTTTTGGACGAATGACGTCTGGAGGTGGCCCCACTGCCACACCTGCGCCTCCGTTGTCGGCTCATTTTTCCTCTTGAGGTTAGAATTTCCTTGAAAGGTGGTGATCGCATTGTAGTTCCTGGGCATCTGGTCACTTGGCTGAATTGTGTTGAAATTGCCTTGCTAGCAGCACTTTGTCCAGTGGGGACTCCAGTGGGGTTTTGTTTGTTTAGTTCTGACCAGGAGAACGCCGAGAGATGCAGCTAACAAGCTGTGGTTAACGCGGGCGATGATGAGAGTCTCAGGTTAAGCAATCAGGAGAGACCCTGTCTACAGTAAAAAAGCTGACAGTGAGCAACTGTGTGTCAGATAGGAAAAAGTATGGGGCCAGCAGTGTGGCTCAGCAGGGGAAGCCGCTGCCTGCAACACCAGCGTCCCATGTGGGTGCCTGTCCCAGTGCCAGCTGCTCTGTGTCAGGTCCAGCTCCCTGCTCATGTGCCTGGGAAGGCAGGGGAAGATGGCTGATTCTTGGAATAAAACAAACAAAACTGATAGAGCACTGCCCCAGCTAACACTCCTGCCCCGTGAAAGGAGATCTGAAGTCATAAAGTCAGAGATGGAAAAGGAGGTGTTACAACAGATACCGTAGAAATAAAAAAATCATCAGGAATTACTACAGACACCTTTATGCCAACAAGTTGGACTATCTAGAAGAAATGGATAGATTTCTAGACACACACAGTTTACAAAAATTGAAGCACGAAGACATAGAAAACCTAAATCAACCAGTAACCAAGACACAGGTTGAATTGGTAACAAAAACCGTCGCAATAAAGAAGCACTTGGGGTTGGCTGCTTCACTGCTGAAATCTGTCAGACTTTAAGGAAAATTATTCTCAGTACTTCTTGAACTGTTCAGAACAACTGAAAGGGGAGAATCCAAACTCCTTCTATGAGGCCAACACCACCTTAATTCCAAAACCAGAAAAAGATACAACAAAGAAAGAAAACTACAGACCAGTATCTCAGATGAACATAAATGCAAAAATCCTCAACAAAATGCTAGCTAGTTGAATCCAGCAACACATCAGAAAGATCATTTACCTGGACCAAGTAGGATTTATCCCTGGTATTCAGGGATGGTTCAACATCTGCAAATCAATAAATGTGATCATCACATTAACAAATTGAAGAATAAAAACCATATGATTATCTCAGTAGCTGCAGAGGAAGTATTTGATAAAGAACAACATCCTATCATGATGAAAACCTTAAGCAAATTGGAAATAGAAGGATCAGTTCCTCAAAACAATCAAGAAAATGTATGGCATACCCATAGCCAGCATCATATTGAATGGGGAAAAGCTGGAAGTGTTTCTGCTAAGATCTGGAACCAGACAAGAATGCCTACTATGGACACTGTTATTCAGTATATCTCTGGAAGTTTCAGCCAGAGCCATTAGGCAAGAATAAGAAGTCAAAGGGATACCACTGGGAAAGGAGGAAGCCAAGTTCTCCCTGTTGGCAGATGATACGATTCTACGTAGGGAAACCAAAAGATGCACTAAGACACTATTGCAACTTACAGTGTGACAAAGTGGCAGGTATAAAATCAACACACAAAAATCAGTAGGCTTTGTAAACACAGAGAATGCCATGGCTGAGAAAGAACTTCTAAGATCTGTCCCATTCATAATAACTATAAAAATGTAAATACTTCAGGATAAATTTACACAAAAACATGAAAGATCTCTACAATGACAGTTAGAAAACATTAAGGAAAGAAATAAAATGGAAAATGAAAAAGTCTCCCATGTTCATGGATTGGAAGAATCAATATCGAAGTATCCATATTCCCCAAAGCAATTTACAGATTCAGTGCTAACCCAATCAAAGTACCAAGGACATTCTTGTCAAATCTAGCGAAAACAACCGTAAAATTCATATGGAAACATAAGAGACCTCAGATAGCTAAAGCAATCTTAAACAACAAAAACAAAGCTGGAGGCATCACATACTAGATTTCAAGACTTACTACAAGACAATTATAATCAAAACAGCCTGGAACTGGCACAAGAAGAGACATGTGGACCAATGAGACATAATAGAAACCCCAGAAATTATTTCACCCATCTATAACCATCTATAATCTTTGACTGATGAGCTAAAATAAATAAATTTTAAAAGAAAAAGCAGGGACAGAAACCGTTTGCCTTTCTAGTTTTTCTTTTTAAAGATTTATTTAATGTTTGAAAGGCAGAGCAATAGAGAGGCTGGGGGGGGAGAGAGAGGAGCGGGGAGAGAGAGAGTAAGGGGGAGAGAGAGAGGAGCGGGAGAGAGAGTAGGGGGGAGAGAGAGGTCTTCCATCCACTGGTTGACTCCCCACGTGGCTGCAAAGGCCAGGGCTGAGCCTGAGGACAGGGCCCTTCGGAGGCTCCACCTGCGTTTCCCACGTGAGTGGTGGGGTCCACACTCTTGGGCCGTCATCTGCTGCCTCTGTATCTGCATCAGGAGGGAGCTGATAGGAAGTAGAGCAGCCAGGACTTGAACCAGCGCTGTGATGGTGGGATGCTGGCGTTACAGGCTGCGGCTGAGCCTGCTGCCCCACAACACCGGCCCTGCCTGCCTCTCCCTGAGCAGCAAATGCCCTGTGCAGGACCTGCAGCGTCTATCCAGGCAGTGCTGCGGTTTGGAAATACGTCACAACTAACGGTGGTCAGACCCCAGCATTCCTAAAGGCAAGCTCCACATGAATTTTGGCAATGTTTGCTAATGTGGGAGAAGGTGGTGGCAGGTAAGTAGTGTTGGAAGGAGTGTGGTGATTATCTTCCAGGTCGCTAGCTGTGGGAAGATGCAGTGCGCGGAAAAGGCACGTGTTATAGACCCCTTTGCCTCCTTTATTCTGAGGAATGCACAGTACTTTATATGTAAGACAGGTCCAGGCACCAGATCGTAGTTCTTCAGATACTTACACTTCTTTTTAATGGCTGAAAATGGAGGGGAAATGAAGAATGAGTGGCGGCAATAATAGTTTTAAAATTTTTATTAATTCAATTGAGAGAGAGAAAGAGAGACCCCAAGAGAACTCCTATCCTCTGGTTCATGCCCCACATGTCCGTAATGGCCGGAGCTGGACCAGGGCTGCAGCTGGGAGCTGGGAGCCCAGTCCAGGTCTCCCACATGGTGGCAAGAACTCAGTCATTTGGGTCTGAAGTGTGGCTTCCTAGGGTCTGTGTCAGCCAGAGCCGACAGGAGGTGGAGTGAGGGGCCAGGTGGATGTGGAACCCAGCACTTCAATATGGAACAACAATTGCTTTTTTTATTTATCTTTTTAAAAAAAATTTATTTATTTCAAAGAGTTACACAGAGAGGAGAGAGAGAGGTCTTCCATCTGCTGGTTCACCCTCAACTGGCTGCAAAGGCCAGAGCTGCATTGATCTGAAGCCAGGAGCCAGGAGCTTCTTCTGGATCTCCCACACGGGTGCAGGCGCCCAAGGACTTGGGCCATCTTCCACTACTTTCCCAGGCCACAGCAGAGAGCTGGACTGGAAGTGGAGCAGCCGGGGCTCAAACCAGCGCGCATGTGGGATGCTGGCACTGCAGGCAGCGGCTTTGCCCGCTACACCACACATTTGCTTTTCCTTGGTCAAAGAGGTTCTACAGACCCATTCTCATTTGGCCCTTAGAATAGTATTCGGAAGGTAAACAGAGAGAAACAGCATTAATCCCCTGCGAGAGGTGAGAATGCTGAGGTTTGGACACTGGGTGTTTGTCGGAAGACACAGGACTCAAGCCTAAGCCATTTCTTTGCTGGCTAACAAAGGAATGAACATGTGGAATCTCCCGTGCTTGTATAATTCTTTTCTTGTGGTAACTTGTTAATACTTTGCATGAACTGTGCTGCGTCGATCAGTACTTGATTGGATTCCTCCCTGTCTGTGGTGTGTCCCTCAGCCTGCACACTGCGGGTCCCGCACTGACCTTGCAGACGTTTACGGAGGAGTCCGCACGCGCTGCCAGCAGCTCCCTGGGCTGTGGCGACGGTGCCTGCTCTCAGCAAGAACAGGCAGGCAACAGCGTCACGCAGCTGTGTTGTAGGTGTTGTGAGCCCAAGACGCGTGGGAAGAAGAGGGCATGGCGTAGGCAGCGCCTTCACCTGCTACCTTCCAGGGTGCTCCCCACATGGGAACACAAGACCCCCGGGTGCACGGATGATTCTGTGGCCCTTCGGAGAGCACCCACGGGCGTCTCTCTCGCTTTGCGACGCCTTGCTGCAGAAGTCCACAGCTTCCTCCTCCCTGCCCCAGTAAGCTGCTTCCAAAGACTTGTGCCAGATCGTACGGCAGTCAGGGAAGCTCATGGCAGTGTGCGCTTCTGAGCGACGATGGTATCATTACACGAAGACTGTTGATTAGAGCCCTGCCATTGTGTGGCTGTGCCGTGGTGTGACTTTGCTCATCCGGCATCCACTGGGACTCAGTGCCGGGCGCAGCGCCAGGCCCTCTGTGGGTATCTCCATCCAGAGAGGCAAGAAGGGCCCTAAGCGTCATTGTCACAGTCTCTCCCGGAGAAGACCAAAACCAAACAGCAAGCTAACGACAAGCACTTTCTTACCTTAGGAGGTGGAAGGGCGGGGGCAGAGGTGGGGCGCTCAGTGTGTATTTTTTCTTTATCTCACTTGCTGTATGTGGGGAGCAACTGGGAGCAACTCGGACTAGACTAAGTTACTGGAATTAAGACTTATTCTATGCATCTGCTCTCCCACAATATGGCGCTGGGAGAGGAGAAAACAGCTTCTACACAGCTGCCTCCAGTTCAACCAATAAACTGTAGGACCTGCTCCTGATTGGAGGAGAGCAGCGTACTCGGCGTGTGGGCAGCAGAGTTGGGATTGGTGGAAGAGGACTATAAAGGAGGAGAGAGGCAACATGCACCAGGAACATC